ATAAGCATGCATATGTACTCAGTACTTGGTTTGGGCTCCTTTTGCAGCAATTACTGCCTCAATGCGGCGTGCCATCGAAGCTATCAGCCTGTGGCACTGCTGAGGTGTTATGGAAGACCAGGATGCTTCAATAGCGGCCTTGAGCTCTTCTGCATTGTTCGGTCTCATGTCTCTCATCTTTCTCTTGGCATTGCCCCATAGATTCTCTATGGGGTTCAGGTCAGGCGAGTTTGCTGGCCAATCAAGCACAGTAATCCTATGGTCATTGAACCAGGTTTTGGTGCTCTTGGCAGTGTGGGCAGGTGCCAAGTCCTGCTGGAAAATTAAGCCAGCATCACCATAGAGCTCGTCTGCGGAAGGAGGCATGAAGTGCTCCAATATCTCCTGGTAGACGGCTGCGTTGACCCTGGACTTAATGAAGCACAGTGGACCAACACCAGCAGATGACATGGCTCCCCAAATCAACACAGACTGTGGAAACTTCACACTGGACTTCAAGCATCTTGCAGTGTGTGCCTCTCCATTCTTCCTCCATACTCTGGGTCCTTGGTTTCCAAATGAGATGCAAAATTTGCTCTCATCAGAAAAGAGGACTTTGGACCACTGAGCAACAGACCAGGTCTGTTTTTCTTTAGCCCAGGTAAGACGCTTCTGACGTTGTTTGTTGTTCAGGAGTGGCTTGACAAGAGGAATACGACATTTGAAGCCCATGTCCAGGATCCGTCTGTGTGTGGTGGCTCTTGATGCACTGACTCCAGCCTCAGTCCACTCCTTGTGAAAGTCCCCAACACTTTTGAATGGCCTTTTCCTGACAATCCTCTCCAGGCTGCGGTCATCCCTGCTGCTTGTGCACCTTTTTCTTCCACACTTTTCCCTTCCACATAACTTTCTATTAATGTGCTTTGATACAGCACTTTGGGAACATCCAACTTCTTTTGCAATTACCTTTTGAGGCTTTCCCTCCTTATGGAGGGTGTCAATGATGGTTTTCTGCACAACTGTCAGGTCAGCAGTCTTTCCCATGATTGTGATTCCTACTGAACCAGACTGAGAGACCATTTAAAGGCTCAGGAACCCTTTGCAGGTGTTATGGCTTAATTAGCTGATTAGAGTGGGACACTTTGAGCCTAGAATATTGCACCTTTTCACAATATTCTAATTTTCTGAGATTGTGGATTTGGGGTTTTCATGAGCTGTAAGCCATAATCATCACAATTATGACAAATCACGGCTTGAACTATCTTGCTTTGCATGTAATGAGTCTATCTCATATATTAGTTTCACCTTTTAAGTTGCATTAGTGAAATAAATGAACTTTTGCAATATATTCTAATTATTCGAGTTTCACCTGTATATGCTCTGTGCATTGCATGTCACTGAAAAAAAATTGATGTTTCAATTTTTTGCAGTTCATTTTGCATGGGCTGCCTAAAACTGGCCATACACCTATACATTAACTGCAGATTTTCTATGGTCAGATGGACAAAGTGCAACAGATTCCTCCATCTAAACTGTGTGGATGGAGGAATCTCCCACTGGGCCAAGCTTCAGCCCCGCTGGCTCTCAAAACACCTGAACAATGCCTGCAGCCAATCAGATTGTTCAGATATTTCAACAGCCAGCGGGGCCGACTAGCAAGATACTGAAGCTTTGACCAGTGGGAGATTCCTCCATTAACACAATGATCCTAAAAGAGGGAAACTACCTGCTTTCCAGCAAACTCTGTAATGGTGGGAATGGGCCCCTAAAACCCATTTGATCTTTCAGTTGAAATAAGCTAAATATATCAGGTAGATCAAGAAAGAAGTTGTACAAAGTCTTGATCACACCATAGGGTTGTGATAATGCGTGCTTTACCTTGGTGTGCTGCAGTATCATTAATTTCTCAACACAACTGCATTGCAGCACACAATGCATGATAATGCACTACCATGTGCTGTGGAGAACTGCATTTTTTAAACGTGGAGGATGTGCCCTTTTGTGTGCATTCTTGTGACCTAATGCAGTGAAGGACGAGCTGTGTCGGCCGCACGGCGCCCTTGTTGCCATGGCGCCCTGTGCGGCCGCACTGCTCGCACACCCCTAAGGCCGGCCCTGCAGTGCCCATTAAAGCATACTGCACATAAAAAAAAAATCTGCCTTTAGAGTTTATTTTCTTTAGAAAGTAGCCACAGTTGCAGTAGAAAAACTTTTATCCTGTCAGCATGCATGCATAGAAGGACCTTGTGTGGAACAGTGATCTATCCGAAGAGGTCTGACAAAGCTAGATCTCTCAAATCAGTAAAGCTCAAGCTCCCTGCTGGTTGCAGATCCATGTTTAGCCAAAACAATATTTGTAGTTTTAGACAGAATGAGGAATAATTAGGACCCTTGTCAGAATTTGGAAGGGGTGGAGTGGGTTGTGCTGTCACAATAGGGTCAGAAGGGGTGGAGTGGGATGTGCTGTCACAATGAGGTCAGAAGGGGACGGAGTGGGACGTGCTGTCACAATGAGATCAGAAGGGGACGGAGTGGGATGTGCTGTCACAATGAGGTCAGAAGGGGTGGAGAGGGATGTACTGTCACAATAAAGTCAGAAGGGGTGGAGTGGGATGTGCTGTCACAATGAGATCAGAAGGGGACGGAGTGGGATGTGCTGTCACAATGAGGTCAGAAGGGGTGGAGAGGGATGTACTGTCACAATAAGGTCAGAAGGGGAGGAGTGGGATGTGCTGTCACAATGACGTCAGAATGGGTGGAATGGGGTGTGCTGTTACAATGAGGTCAGAAGGGGTGGAGAGGGATATGCTGTCACAATGAGGTCAGGAGGGGTGAATTGGGATGTGCTGTTGCAATAAGGTCAAAAGCAGTGGAGTGGGATGTGCTGTCACAATGAGGTCAGAAGAGGTGGAGTGGGATGTGCTGTCATAATGAGGTCAGAAGGGTTGGGGAGGGATGTACTGTCACAAGGCTTGGAGAGGGATGTGCTGTCACAATGACTTCAGGAGGGGTGAACTGGGATGTGCTGTCACAATAAGGCCAGAAGGGGTGGAGAGGGATGTGCTGTCAAAATGTAAGGGGGATTCTACACTGACCACCAATGCAAGGGAGGATTCTACAGTGATCACCGATGTAAGGGGGGATTCTACACTGACCACCAATGCAAGGGAGAATTCTACAGTGATCACCGATGTAAGGGGGGATTCTACACGGACCACCAATGTAAGGGGGATTCTACAGTGACCACCAATGTAAGGGGGGATTCTACACTGACCACCAATGTAAGGGGGGATTCTACACTGACCACCAATGTAAGGGAGGATTCTACACTGACCACCAATATAGGGGAGGATTCTACATTGACCACCAATGTAAGGGGGGATTCTACACTGACCACCAATATAGGGGAGGATTCTACACTGACCACCAATATAGTGGAGGATTCTACACTGACCACCAATATAGGGGAGGATTCTACACTGACCACCAATGTAAGGGAGGATTCTACACTGACCAGCAATGTATTGGGGGATTTTACACAAGCCTGTAAGGCAGGGGGCTGTATGAGGAGAGACAGCCAGGAAGGAAAGAGAGAGGCAGCCAGGAGAGACAGACAGGGGAAAGAGCGAGGAGAGACAGCCAGGAGGATGAGCAAGGAGACAGCCAGGGAAGAGATAGCGAGCAACACATATGCCTGAAGCAAAACCCCTGTGCCCTTCAAGACTGATTTACACAATGTTTCAGACACCTCCTTGCTTTCCAGTTCCAGTGTCCCTCCATGTTCTGTGCCTCCTCTATGCACTCAAGTTGGAACACCAGGACCCCGTGGTTGCCCCTGTCCGCCTAACATCTTGTGTCCAGGTTTCAGCCTGAAACCCAGACACAGCACATTCAAGACCCAAACCCCAGACTGTCCAGGTAAATCCCGGACAGGTGACAACCCTAGCTATGCCCCTGGCTACTGCAAAAAGTAAGGACCCCCTCTCGGTCCCTGGGCTCCTCTGCTGACTGATGAGCCGTAAAAGCATTTCAATTGTTGCCTATGGGAAATTTTGGTTATTGTAGTTTTTTTGCGGTTTCACAGATGCACACAATTTTAAGGCTTGGCATCTGTTTACCTGGCGTGACCCCATCTGTTATATTTTACCCAACAATTGGGCATTATATTCTGTTTCTGTGCACTAAATTTAATTTTAATGTATTTTATCCTAAAAATACTTGTTTGATAAACATTTGCGGGAGATACCATGCGACATAAAAAAATTGCAACTACCATGTTTTTATTCTACAGGTCCTCTGCTTTCAGAAAATATATTATTGTTTGGGGGTCTGAAGCTGTTTTCTAGCCAAAAAATCTGATTTTATCATGTGGGAGCAAATGTAAGAAATTGCTCTGGGCAACAAGTGGTTAAAACAGACCTCTCTCAAATCAGAGGCGCTGAGCTGCCTGGCATCTGCAACAGCCTCATGGTTGGTGCTACCAAGCTGTGAGGCTACCCAGGAATCGATCCCTCATCCCTCACCTAGCACCCTAGAGTGATGACACTGCACACAGGGGGGGGAGGAAGGTCCTTAACTCTATAGGTTGAACTGGATGGCCTTGTGTCTCTTTTCAACCTATGTAACTATAGCTCGTACACACAGCAAATATTGGAAGCTAAAGCTGAATGGGCAGGGACTCGGAGCTGAAAAGCAGGACTATCCCCCAGTTGGTGACTGCATTATGCGCCCTCAGCTTTCAGTTCCAGTTGTGAGGTATTTCCAGCATTCTACTCCCCCTGTCTGCTGTTATGGAATGAGGAATCAGTTCACTCACTGCCTCTTATCACTACTGGTATTTAACCTCCAGGCAGGCGGCTCACGTACACATCAAGCGCCACACGCAGCCCTGCCACACACTAAGGAAACAGAAGGCGGCCCACACCACACTTCCGGCGTCTTTACAACTTTTATCTTCCGGCCTGGAGGGGGATTGGTGGACGCCAAACAGGAAAAGGCGATCAGCTGACGGCGGGACACGTGACGCTACGGTGACAGCGGCTCCGGTGTAAGTGTTGTCTCTATCCTGTCATGTCCTACTATGGGAGGGGGGTTAGGGCTGACCACACAGGACAGGAACCCGGGCCATGAGAAGTGTGTAGAGCAGGCTCCTCTGTCAGAACATTAATAGATGGTCATAACAGTTGTATAGGTGATATAGGTGTGCGGTTGCCAACAGTGATGATGGTTTACTAACATTTTAACGATGGTTTAATGTCAACACTTAGGGGTGTGTTTATAAAGTAGTGATTGTCACCAAACATTCACTACTGGTAAATCAATCACTCATTTAAAAACATGCACTTTGAAAATGTATGTGTGCTGAATGTTTGATTCGCTGCTTTTCTAAAAAATTCCTTGGGTCAGTAAACAGTGTTGTGCGAAAGGCATTGTCTGTGTGTTAATGCACTCAACCACACAGTGTGATGCACTCAATGCTAGGTGCAGTGTGGTGTTGCCATTCATTTGAATGACGCACCGATGCACCAGGCTGTTTTGTGTTAGTGCACTGCAACACGGGGGGGCGGCAGTTGCCTTGGCAAAAGCTCTGTCTATTGCATCATCACATGGAGAAGCAAGGTTTCAGACCACGCAGAGACCCTTCATTAGGTAAGTGATAAGCATACAGTGCAGACATATAAAGAGATCATCCACAAAGAGGACAAGACTCCCAGTGCCACTGTTTACATGAATGAGCTGAATATAAGATTTGCTGCACATTTGTTTAGAGCTTCCCTTAGCACATGCCCCGTTCTGAAGTGTCCTGTCTCTGCTTTAAAAGGAATTTTGAAGGAATGGAAGTATAATTACTCTCTGTTTGGCTCTCTGCAATGCTGTCAGTCTGGTATCCCATTATTGCAATGTAAATGTGACTAGGGTACTCATTTGTGTGTGTTCAGGTCTCTGAATGGATTTGTTCAGAACCAAAATCTAACAGATTCCTCCATCCACGCTCAGTTTCACACTGCGGCTATTGTATTATGACTGTCGGTGCCCGCTGCTGTCGGAATACGTGAACGGCAATTGCAACTGATTAGCTACAGTCACTGTTCGGCTGAGAATTTTCCAACTAGCTCCTTTGACAAAAGTCGATTTGAAAAAAAACCCACAAAATGTGTGAAAATCACGCAGTGTATGGACAGCGTAAGGCCTCATTTACACGGATGGTTGATCTGCCCCTGACTGTCCACTTTAAACATAACTTTTCACCCGCTTGGCTTCTTACATATGCACATTTTTTTCCCCCACCATCTTGCGATTTGAGAGGTGATGCCAGGGGTGTCCCTAGATTTTTCACCGCTTCAGGCAGGGGGAGGTTTGGGGTGCTCGTGGTGTATCGGATCATCTCACTGCCCAGCCCTGGCTCCCCGGCCAGCATCACTGACATCGCTGGTTGCCAGGAGTTGGGCAGGATTACGTCCAGAGCATCCTAGGTTGCTAAGAGCTGGGCATGGGGTGATGTGCATGGCCCTTACACTCACCCCTGAGTGGCTCTTGGCAACCTGGGATGCTCTGGCTGAAAAGGGAGCAGTAGGCACACTGCGAACATTGTGCAGCAGAACGGCCATGCTACTCTGCCTGCTGCGTCTCCAAGTGACCCAGAGAAATTCTGCCAGAGGCAAGAGCCTCAGGCTGCCTCATTATAAGGATGGCCCTGGGTGGTGCCCCTTGCCAAACTCATAGTTGCCAACTGTCCTGGATTTATTGGGACAGCCCCGCTTTTAAGCTTGGTGTCCCTACATATCTACGCCCGGGGCTTTGTCCCGCCCATACAGCATTAGTCTCTGATAGGCATGGTAGTTCCATCCCTGAGGCTGATACAAAAGCCAGGCAGCTCAGCACCTCTGATCTGAGAAAGGTCTGTTGTAATAACTGCAAGAAGCTTCATTGAATAAGTAACCTGAAGTATGTTTTGCTGGAGGGGACAGGGGTTTGATACCTGGGCAGACTCACGGGCCACATGGAGAGCGGCATGGTAGTTCCATCCCTGAGGCTGATACAAAAGCCAGGCAGCTCAGCACCTCTGATCTGAGAAAGGTCTGTTGTAATAACTGCAAGAAGCTTCATTGTAACTTTCTGGCTGCATTATTACATTTAAATTCTAAAATTGAAATAGCAGAAAAGGTTATTGATGTCTCTTGTAGAACCACACCCCTTTTAAATGGACACCAATCCCAATAATAACAATTGATGCTTTCTTTGGGAATGTGCAGGGAATTCAGGTTCTGTGAGATTTGAAAAGGTCCACATCTTTAGAATAGATTCGTTCTCTGCTATTTCCATAGATTACTTTTTCCTTCCTGATTTCAAAGTGTGGCCCTCCTGCTGTGTCTTACAAGTTATACCATAAAAGACTATTGTTAAACCCTGTGGGGGGCTGTGGTAAGGTCTATGACGTAAATGAACCCACTATTTGAAGTTGAACAAGCTGAATTACCACCAGCTTGAGAAAAATGTGTACAAATTTCTAAATGTTATTGTATCTCAAGTACACGTATCTGTCAAAGCTCTGTAAATCTGTTTGTAGGTTTTTTTTCTTGTGCTTTGAATTTATCGTTCAGACCTGTTATAGGGCTTCTTGAACTTTGAGACATAGCAAACTATACTGCTTTTGTTTATTAAACATGGTGGCAATGTAGCAGTCAGAGGCTTGTGCACAGACTTGTGAAGAAAAATGTCTGGCATTGGTTGATATGACTGTAACTTACAGTAACCAGTCATCTAAAACCATCTTTCATTGGATGAAAAAAAAATTTAAAAAAATCTGAAAACACAATTGTGCTTTTTGCCGCGTGTGATTTACTATACATGGTTATAATACATTTTTCAAGACATTTGCTCAGTTTCTAATAGTTATGGTCAAAACGATGATCAATATCAAAGGAGCAGATTAGATATCTTTTCTCGAACGAATTAAATTCTAACAGTGAATGTGGTTTTCATTCCGCAAACTCTATTGATTTCAAAATTGAATGATTAAACCAAACAAAAGTTTGAACGACGTTCGTCAAGTCTCTGATGGCATAGTCTAATATTCTGAGAACATTATTTGTAGGAAAATTTTCCAGCTTATACCCAGCTTAAGTCATTTGTATATTGCCAATCTTAAATTTTGGCCAAGATAAGCTTGGGAAAATATAAAAACTAGTGATTTTTTTGCAAGAGTAACAGAGTATGTGACTGGTATTTCAGTCTTGGTCTTTTCAGTTTTTCTTTTGTCTGCATTCAGATGCAGTACGTTGGGCTGCAATACTCAATGGAGGCCCAAAGCAAAGACAAGCTGATATCTATTGCTTCCAAAAGGCCCAGTTCACACCGACCGGTGTGCTTGAAATGGAAGATGCAGCATTTGAATGCAGTGCACGTCAAAGGAGAATTATGAGGCGAGTGCTTTTCAATCCCCCCCCCCCCCCCCGATCCTCCAGCGCTGACTGGCAGAACGGACAGAGGAGGGGGCGGTTACAGCTGGCTCTGCCTCTAGCTAGGCAAGCCAGCTGTCACTCACGCAGCTGGGCGGATCCAGACAGCATTGTTGGCATCCGTTCTGGCTGCGGCGTCTCAGTATACAGGAAGCTGTAGCTCGCGGTATACTGAGCTTTGGGTGGCGGGAGGGAACTAGTTTGTGTCCTCCCGTTACCCTTAGGAGAACTATGGGGAAAAGCCCTGACCCCATAGTTCTCTAAGGAAAACACGATAAAATATTTTGGCTTCTGCTGTGTAAAAAAGAAATGCACATCAACGCAAAGCGTTAAAAAATTTGTGTCAACCAACATCAACTCAAGTGCATGTAAGGCTTGTTAACGGCAATGCACAGGGTGTGAATCCATCCTCGCTGCCCTGGACTACTATAGTGACTTATTGGAGAATAGAGGTCTCAATCTTCTGACATGGGTGTTTGCCTTCATGAGGGTTTCCCTTAAAACAAACCTATGCAGATAGAAATATGGGGACAGCCACTGCTGACCTGTTTCCTGGCCACCAATTCTGATCCAGAGGCTTTAGTGCTTTTTGAATAAGTAACCTGAAGTATGTTTTAAAAGGTGTTTTATTTTGCTTTTCAAATAATATAATAGATTATTAACTATTAACAGCCCACATGATGGACATGCCTTAGCTTCAAGTAAAAGCTTACATTTTGGTAGAGCTTACAAACCTAACAAACATCTTGGTAGTTGGAGGGTGCAGATTTTTCCAATCAAACATACAGTATATAGTGTGTACATTTGTTCAGTAGCCTTGTTAAATGGGTCATTTGCATCATTTTGACAATGTCGGCAGTGAGCATGACCATGGGTCAGGTGGGGTGTAATAGAGCTCTTGTATGAATTTGACTTGGATTAATTTGTCTCCTGTACCATTAGTATCAATGAACAAGGTCGATGTAACCTCCTATCAACTAACTCTATAATTGCCTCATTCATAGAAGCAGGGGTTTGCCTGATAGACCTCCTGGTATGTTTTTAGTAATTGTGGTGTTAGGAGATCACTTTGCATGTAACTATTCCAGTAGTATACCACCTGGGCCTGGTGTTTTATTAGGGGGTAAGGATAATATAAGAGGCTATTTTCTGAGTAGTAAACTGCACATAAGCATTCAGTAAGTTAATTCGGAATAAAATCAGAGCTTCCGATGTGGAGACTTGTTCCAGGTCAGTGACTAAGAACATATTTAAGCTGTTGCAACAGCATATGAAAGGGAGACCAAGAATAGCAAATTCCATATTTATGAACCCTGGTTTCCTTTACGGATTCCTATACCGAGAGAAATAAGAGATTGCCATTGCTGACCTAATAATACTAATTGCAGATCTGTTTATGACTACAATACTTTCCCAATCACTGACCAGAACAGGTCTACAGATTAGAAACTAAGAGTGAAGTCAGAACTCCACATCTGTATACTTGTTCTAGGTTGTTGCCTCAAAGTATTAAAGCAACCGAATCAGCATGATAACCAGGTCGGCATTGACGGCCTCTATATTCTCTAAATGCAGGGTTCCCTTAAACCCATCACAAAAAATAGTGAGGCCACCATTTTTGACCAATGGCTGAAAATGCTAATCAACTGGCGTTAGTGCTATCTAACTCAAGCAAGTGTGAAGAACTAAGAACTCCAAATCAGCCAAGCATTTTCAGAAGGAGGTTGGCAATGGCCACTGCCATATTTCTCTCATGACTGATTTCCTTGAGTAAAGTTTATTCACAAACTTAATGTTGGTCCAGAAGAACATCGCTATAGTATATACTAATATATCAATGACTTTGCCTTTTTATTTGGATAATGATTATATTTGGTCTTTTCTCATTCTTACAGATCATGAGTTCTGTTTCGCCAGGGCAGGAACATGTTCCATTTACCCACGGACAAAATCTCCCTCTTATGCACAATGACTATGTAACTTTCCAATTCCAAGGACTTGTCTACAATCCAGAGATATGCAGAAAGAATTGTGGGTTCTATGGAAACCCAGCATGGCATGGCTATTGTTCCAGATGCTGGATACAAAAGCGACAGCAGACTCCGCAACTTACAAACGGGTGAGTACTAGTCTCACATTTAATCAGCTAAAGTGCATTTAAAGGTATTGTGCAAATACAGGATTCCCCTACAAAAATTATATTAAACAGAAGTCCGTCCCCAGCAACAAAATGCAGCTAAATTACAGAGTGGTTCAAAAGAGGCTGTTATGGCAAATTAAGATAACTTTGAACATTTAGATTCTTGAATATTCCCAACACTGACTGTTTTGCTTTAAGTGAAGGCAGTATGTGCAGAGGAGGAGTGCAGAGGGTATTGCAGTAGGCCGTATGTGCAAGGGAGAAGAGTATAATGACACAGTATGTACAAGAGAGTATGACGGTAGGCATTATGTGTAGGGGAGGGGTGCAGAGGGTATGACAGTAGGCATTATGTGCAGGGCATAATTGCGGAGGGTATGATGACAGTTGTATGATGGGAATGCAGGGGGTATAATGGTGGGCATTATATGCAGACAAGGAGTGCAGAGATTATGGCAGCAGGCGGTATGTACAGAAGAGAAGCGTGGAGGGTATGACAGTAGGCAGTATATGCAGGGCAGTAGTGCAGATGGTATGGAATGGGGTTATGGGGCCATTTATGTAAGACAGGAGTGTAGTGAATGGTATGATGATAGGCAATATGTGAAGGAGTGGAGTGCAGATCAAAAGACAGTGGAGGCCATGTTTAGGAGAAAGGCTATGGCAGCGCACACAATGTACAGTCAAGGTGAGTAAGATAAAGAAGTGGGAAGATAGGACACACTTTTGCTCTGTTTTATTACTTAGATTTGTTTTGTTTTTTTTCACTGTGGTGACGAGTTTTCTTTAGACCCTTGATGCCTCCTTGTGTCCATTAGATACAAATAGAGGGGAGAAGGTGTGTACTCCGGCTGTGTTCTGTGACTACGTAGTGTGTCTACTATAAATGACTGTGCTCCCGTGTGTGAGCAAAGATTGACAATAAAGGGAGAGCGACGCAGACACACAAGAGTAAAATGTAACATTGCTGTGTGTGGGAGAGGGCAAGAATAGAAAGGAAAGCAAGCAGAAAGAGGTGCTGCATGAGCCATATGACTGAAGTTGCCGGTGTGAATGAAGCGTACAGTAATGCTGATAGGGAACAGGAGGTACCATTCGGTAAAGTTGGGGAGGGGGGCTGAACACTGGAAGGAAGTGCAGGAAGGGAGATGAAATGGTGTATATCTGAATGGGTGCTTGAAGGCCCCAGTGCCTTTTTTTTTTTTTTTTTTTTTAAATACAACACAGGAAGAAGGGTATAGAGAGGATAGCCCTGTGTACTGGACGGAGCAGCTCTCTGCTGGAATGGATACTGGGAAGTGAGATTTGTTTGCTGGGGACAGAATATACAGGTCCAATGCTTGTGCTCTGCTCAACCACATTCAAGAAGAGTCCCCCAGTGGCAAAATGAAACTATACATTATACATTATATTTCAATAATAGGATGGGATAGCGCTGACATATTCTGCAACATATTACAGACTATATTGGATTCATTCACATCAACCCTTTACCTTGAAGAAGCGTACAACGTGTAATGTCCCTATCACACTAATAGTTGCTTGTACACACCGTAGGACAAACACAGACAGACGGAACAGAGCATCAAATATTAAACTTTAGGGTGTTGCTGCACTTTGACTTTAAGCTCTCAGTTATCCATGGGCAGAATATGCACAGCTAAATAAGGGAATATAAAATGATATATTTAATATGTAAGCTTGCACACTTAGAATCATTTTAAATTTAACAGGGTTAATCACAAAAGAGTGAAGAGTTTGGAGAAGGCAGGAGAAGTGAACAATCTAGGACAAAATAGCTGATTTGGAAAACATCTCCCATTCAGCTCACTTTCCAGTTCAGTTATTTTGTCTTAGATTGTTCACTTCTCCTGCCTTCTCCAAACTCTTCACCCTTTTGTGAATAACACTGACAATATTCAGATTCCAATCATCACTCGTCTAAGCAAACTTATGTTTTTAGTGGTAGGTATTTTAAGTATTGACCACCTGAATGTTTCTTATATCTTTGTCCTTGAATGGAATCTTCCAAGTTTGGTTACAACTAGAAATTTCAGCTCAAGTCCTCAAAAAGAAGCCAAACAAACCCTACTTATAAATGACGCTACTGTAGAAAAGCTATGTCTGGAATTTAACATTTTAGTTGTGACTACAGCCTCCTTAGGAAATGTAAGGCATATCTTAGTTGCTGCGATCAGTTATTTGCATGTTTTATCAGTTCCGTCCATGTGACTTTTGCTTTGTTTTGGAGGTCACCTTTCATATATATGGCATATTATCCTGAATTGTAGCTTGAACAAGTATATTTGCTTGCTTTGCACAACCAGTTTTTCAATCCAGTTATGTCACCTGTTGCATTATCTGAAGATAATACGGTGCGGTAGAAGCATTCATACTCTAAAAAGTCCTAAAAAAAAATGACGTCTTTATGCTACTACAGAAGCATCTGAAAAAAACCTTGGAATAGTCCGATTTTGTCCAGCCATCCTCCAATACTAAGCTCCTATAATCCTGATCCAGTACACAGATATATCCCTTACAGTTTCTACCATGAGACTAACCTGCAGGATTGTGTGACACTGAGTGCTCACATGTGATGGAAAATTTCTCTTGAGCACAGGATCACATAGAAATCAGTATGATGCCAACAAAGGGATCAACTTTAAGGAGATGTAGTGCCTTTACAACTACTAAAAATTACATATATATTGATGTGCCTAAATTCCCAATTGTCGGGGACCTCCTTTTGAGACCCATAAAGAGTGTTTCTGCAGCACTTGCAAAAATTGACAGTAATGAGCTGCATAGAAAATGAAGGTGTATATATGGTGGGCAGCGTTTTACTTTTCTCTACTTTTTATTTACATGTAAAGGCCATTGAATTTTTAAAAGGTAAGACCGAATCTATGAGCAGTAATATTCCCCAGCGAATGATTAGGATTCATTTTTTATTGATCTGACTTAAAGCGGACCTTTACTCCCTTTCACTAAAAATCACATCAGCATGCAGCTCTGCACACTGATCTGAAATCATCTTATATTCATTAGTTAAATAAACATCTTTTTCATTTACTTACAAATGGAGCCTTTCCACTTCCTGGTCTAGTTTTGCCACGAATGATGTAATGTGCCAAAGTGTTACATCTTGGGAAGGTTACATCAGCAGAGCATTGCTGGGAAATCCCATCTGTAACCTTATGAGATCTCTGGAAAAGGCATTTTCTTCCCCTGAGATGATGACCTAGTCACATGTGCCAGAGTTCCAGGAAGTAAACGGAGATATATTAATCTGCCCTTCGTTAATATGGCCACCATGAGAAAACTGGGAAAGAAAAGAGAAATAAGGTATGCCAAGAATACAAAGCCTGCAATTATCTAGAAGTATCTGTCTGTAGATTGTCATTACCAGGGCATGAAAAGGCCTCTCGTCTGTGACGAGAGGACGCTGGAGCCTGACGAGTAGCTTCCTGTCCGGCCGTTGTAATTACACGGCTGGCTGGGAGCTTTACATTCAAGCGATCGGGTGTCTAGAGACGCCCGATCACTGGTATTAGCAGCAGGTGTCACTGCCGTTGCAGTTAAGGCTTAACATGTTTGGTGTCTAGTTACCCGACGTGACCCCATCTTTTATATTGTTACCAAAAATATGGGTAAGAATAAATGTATTTTAACATAACAAAGGGGGAAAACACGTTTTTTCCCGAAAATGTATGGTACTTTTCATTATATAGTAAAAAAAAAAAAAATACCCCCCTCCCTCCCTCCCTCAGAGGTGATTATATACCTCCAAAAGAAAGCTCTACCTGTCCCTAAAAAATGTTAACATAAATGGCAAGGCCGTAGTCCGGTCATGCTGACTGGGACATTTTTGACTGACTGGTGAGACATCCTAAACTTTTTTTCAAGCCCTGGTCATTACCAAATATTTCTAAGTGGGTGTGATATTACGATATGGGTAAAGGTCCACTTTAAATAACATATCTAATTGGTTATCATGGAATGTTGCCGCTGATCACACATGATCATTGCTCTTTGCAGCTCTTTTTTCAATTAACGTAATTTTTAAAGGACTACTTGCTGATTTCAGTTCTCACTTTAGTTTTAGGCATCACAGTACACATCTACTATGTCAACCAGATATGGGTGCAGGTTATCAGCAGGACATTAATGTCCACAGAAAGCCATATGCCCGCCCACAAAATGAAGATCATTCTGCAAAAGGTATGTTTCCTGTTTACAAATGTCTTCAATGTGATTGTGTTGAAATCAGCCATTCAAATTTGAGTGACCCTAAACTCGGGAGTTAAATCTTAAAAATGGGTTCAAGCACCTTAACAAAAATGTATCTTGTTTGTGTATCACTCGGCTGTAGATCCTCCAAATAATCTCTGAATTCATGGTGACACTGTTCTTCCTTCTGGAGGGTGGTTACTTTTTATTCCCCATGCTCTGTGTGTGTTGTAAAGTAGTCATCGATTCAAGCTCACTCCTGGGATAGACTTCAAGCTCACATTTAGTTTACTAATTTGTATTGATATTGTAGTCCATCACAGGAGTGAGCTTGGAGCGGTTACTTTACAACACACACAGTGACCATGGGGAACAAAAGTAGGCACCCTCCAGAAGGAAGGACAATGTCCCCACCAATTCAGAGATCATTTGAAGCTCTACAGCTGAGTGATACACAAATAAGATACATTTTTAATAGTTAAAGGAGAACTATGAGGTGAGTGAAAAACACTCATCCCCATAATTCAAGCCGACCTGTGACACTGAAGCTGTCACAGGTAGGCTCTATTGATCGCCAAGTGAGCGAACACACAACACTGATCGCTGACTTCCCGAACCTGTTCCTGCAGAGAGCGGTGACTATCAGTCACCACTCCCTGCAGGGATTCCTCCCCTCTCCATTTCTCCAGCGCTGCCTGGGGGAACGGACAGAGGAGGGGGCGGACACAGCTGGCACTGCCTCTATAGAGCCAGATGTCAATCAACCAGGATCTCAACAGTTTTGTCATGATCCGACGCGGCTCTGCGCTCCCAGCATATAGCGGGAAATTGCCCACTATATACTGAGTTTTGGGTCACCGGAGGACATTAGTATATGTCCTCCTGTGACCCTGAAGAGAACTATGGCCAAAAAAGGTTCTCTTTTTTTTAAGGTACTTGAATGCATTTTTAAGATTTAACTCCTGAGTTTAGTGACGCTTTAAGGAACTCCTAAATATTACATCATAGGTGAAAGTGTCAGTAAACCCAATACATTAGATTACTTTTCGATTTTAAGATTAATTGTAATTTCATGATCTGTGCTGTCATTTTTAATGAAATATCTGCAACCCTGCATATTCATGAGTGAGTCAGGGGTTGTCATTATGGCCACAGCTAAAGCTGTCATATAAACGTTCCATTACCTGTGAAAATCTAACATTTGTATTCTCTGTTCTTCAGTTTACTACCCAAAATCCTGCCAAACGAACTCATGGTGCCTGTCAGGCTGGTCATGCAACTTTCTAGATATGTGTTCTTAAGAGAACATAAGCGGCATCAAATGGCAAATTGGAACATGAGATGTACAAATATATTTAGGCAAAGCTTAAATTGTAGTGCTTTTTCACTCTAGCTGTGTTGGGTAGCAGTCCCAACACAGGAACAGTTCCAGTTTTGGGTATATCCATGGCTTCAGTTCACAGCGACGCACTACGTCGGTGTGCACTAAAAAACGAGAAAGCAAAAAAAGGAAGCAATGCACATGCACAACACACACCAGTGCTTGTGTGTTATGCTGCTGCACACCTTAAAGCGTGCCCACCAGAATAAGGCCTGAGAAGAAATGTAGTACTTGGTGATGATGTTAAATGACTGTTATGTGATCCTTTTATATGAGCTGCATCTGGTGTTGTACTGTGGGAAATGCCGTGATACAATTCTTGGCAAAGTGTGTTTTTCAAAAAGTAGTACAATGATTTAATATGTTGCATTTTTCTTCCTCTACAGCTTCTGTGCACCCTCTCTTCAATTCTTGTCTTCTTTCTCTGGGTCAAGGGAGTTTTTCAGACTTTCTCAAAGCCCTTCATAGACCTGATGCACAAGAGTTACTGACGCATTTCATTAATTTCATTCAAAGGGTACAGAATGCAAATGTAAGTCTTTTATATCCTACCAATAATTAGAGCTTACATCTAGTCACTTTGTCTAAAAATATTACTATGTTACTTGTCATTATAAAATCATATTTAACGTTTTATCTCAATGCAAAATATTGTTTTTAATTTTGAATAGTGGGGGAAGAGTTAAACCTTTTGTCAAGTTTTTATTGCTGTGCTCATTGGGGAGAGTTACCCGTCTATTTGTACTGGTGAAACTGAGAAATCTAAACGGGAAAAATGTGGTGACCTATTTCGGGGGACAGCCTAAGAGGGGAATTTCTTTCACTTTGGGAGATTTTCCTCTAACTTCCTGTTGTCTCTCTGGCACAGGAGGTGAATAAATATTTACCCAAATGTACAGACAAAAAAAACAAAAAAAAACGGTCGGGTTTTAATGTATCCAAAGCAAATAAAAAGACTATACATACATTTTCAAAAGGAAACGGGAGGGTAGCCCAATTTTAGTGTTGGCTAAGGGTATTTCAAAATGGTGAAACAGGTCAACTTTGATAGAACTAGGTTACTATAGTGGTCTGGAGACAATCTACTAGGATGACATATAAAGATGTGTCGCTGTTCAACCAGGCAGCCATTCTTTGGCTGCAGTGAAAAGTTTAAAACCTTGCAGGACAAGTCCAATTTCATATGACTAGCTACTA